ATCTAGTTCTACTTTATATACTCTATGTACGCAACAGTGGTTATTCTATATATTCTGTGGTTAATTTAAAAATCGAATTTTAATTTATATCACGCCATCGTGTGCAAAATACTGAAGTATTCTGTGGTTGTTAACAAATCTGTCAATGTATAGTTAAACGAATAATCAAATGCGTACAAGGTATAAATGTCGTCAACGGATGACAAAGATTTAGAGGGCATAATAGTAAATCTAGCACGCCATAAATAAAAATTATCCAAAAAGGTGGATTACAGGCAGGATAATGAGGTATCCTTTGCTGAGAAGGGTCGTGGTGGGCCCTGCGCGCCCTCTTTATCACAAGTCCCTAGCAGAGCCAGTGACGCGACTCAGTTTGGCGCGAGAGCCCAACGCAGTAGCACGTATCGCTTCCCGTTCTGTTATGTGGCTGTTTGTACAAGTGCTAAGTTGATCGTTTTATGTGATACAGCTTGTTGAGGTTGGCATTATGTTTGAACTAAGCGCTCCATTTTTAAATAGTTAACTGAACTGTGAAATTTCGTTACCGTAATTGGACTTTTGTGACTTGTTTTCGGAATTATAAAGGTAAAGTGTTATTTTAATTGTTTTAGTAGATCAGTATTTTTGTCCGTTAATTATTCTATGCTGAGAAAATATTTTTGACAGTTTCAAAACTTTTTGTTAATTTGGAAGCAGTTAATTTATATTTATTACAAATATGTATAGTTTAAAGGTTTTCTTTGAAATTCCAATACTCATTTTTTTATTTGTTAGATTGAACTTTCTAATACTTTTTTTTTCACTTTTTGCCTGTTCAATTAAGAAAGTAATAATGTAATCATGATACTTTCCCGATTTAAACCAATAAATACTCGTAGCGTTACTGTATTATTATTATTATTAATGTCTTCTAATTTTTTACCGTGCATAAATCATCGTGGTGTCAAGTCTACCTGACTGGCCCTTTTGTTCCGATAGTGCCGTCTCTTTTACGCCAAAACGCGTAGAAAGAGACAGATTGTGATCTCATTTCGAAATTTTGGAGTACGGACACTGCGTCAACATGGTCACAGTTTTTTCTTTCATTATTAATTTTAAGATTAACGTACAGATGAAATTATTGTCGACTAGATTAATATTTGCTTTATCGTATTTGGTGATTTATAATTAATTTAATATAGTGTTACGATACAAAAGAAAGTTAAAAAAGACTTCAATTATCTAACACTTCAGTGGGTAAGAACGTTACCGACTGCATACTCGTATAATTTGAACACATTTACCATGACTTAAGAAAATGGCTGCCGCCCATGATCATGCTATTATCATTAAGTGAAACCTCTTTACTCTTATTGATTTGTTTTTTTTTTATCAAATATATTTTCAAGAACTGTACGGTATTCTATTTTATTTTAATTCTGATAACCTTTTTTTATATCATGTTTCTTATTAGCATTGTTTGCATATTTTTAAGTGCTTTTTTTTTTAAATATATGAATTAAGAAATGTACTCAATTTGTTAAGACAAATAAAACTTATTTTTTAGAAAGAAAATGCTTAAAACAGGTCGATTTTGGATTTAATATTATTATAGCGTATACCTACATGGAACAAAGAATGTCGAAAGCAACAGTACCCTTTCACCTTGTTCAAATCTTCTGATTGAATTTGTTAATTTCAGCATAGTAAATCTAGTAAGTCTATACAGTGAAGACTGCAAACCCATTACTTCTGATTTATACGTCTTGCAACCGTTCCATTGTCTACTGAAAGGCACTCAGTCTGTTAACATTCCATACTACACCAGCAAGGTATTGTATGGAAATTTTGATTAGTCCTCGTGATGAATTACATGCTATTAGGTTTTTATGTCCGACGGGGACAGTTGTATTTCATAACGGCACGCCGTTCTGTTTAACAGCATTGAAGAAAAAACATGGATAGAATATTGCTAAATTTCACAGGTAACCGGTGCAAATTTAAAGACTAAAACCTGACAATAGCTTTCCTTGCGTCTTTTTTATAACAATTGACAAATTACTACCATTTAAAACTTCGTAAATACCAAAAGCAATAGTCAGGGCTGTCTTCTTATTTATATACGTAATATTTAATAATACACTTTAAATCTATATTTAGGTACTTTAGAATTTTTGTCCATGAGTTCATGTTCACTAAATAGAAATTGAAGACGTCACAATCAAATCATGAGTCTCATTTGATTCACGTTATCGTCACTCGAAGCACGTGCTTGATCTATATTTGCTTTCGTGAATTAATATAGTTAAATTATATGATCTGCATAGATCATTTGCTGTATTGTAGTTACACAACGCGTATTATCACGGCCCGATAAGGTACTTCAAACTGGCCTTGAAGGTATTGTTTTCATTTTCATAGTATTTCTAGTATCTGTACGAGCAAATACGTAATTCAGCATAATCTCGTATCTAAATTCAAAAGTCTTATAAAGCCACATATAACTTACGGAATAATGAATATTATATTATATTTTACAAATATTTAACTATTTGGGGTTATCACACAGGTGAATGGGTTCTGATCAATATTAAGGTTCAGTGTTTCTTTGATAACTCGTTTATCTTTTAAAAGCAAGTCAAAATGAATCGGCGAAAGATTTAAGGTATTCAGAATAAAAATATATTTAAATTATAAGAATACAAATTCTTCGTTTAGCGACTTCGTTTTTTGTAATCTTTTGTTTTACAACAAAAGTGCGATTAAACAAAAGATTTTCAAAATCGCGCTGCGGAAGTTTCGTTGGAAACCGATAAAGAATACATGCTTCCACAAATTTCGGATGCGAGGGTCGTCAGGTCGTTGTACCTTTTGGCGGACTGCTTATAATTATAACTATAGCATGACATTCTATGGAGTCCTTTTAAAGTATAGAGGGTTCCCACTAAGCTTTATTTAATCAGTTTAAATGGTGAAAAGTTATAAAATGTATTTGGGACATGTTTCTGGTGTGGTTCCTCATAATTTTAATCTCTCCAGCCCATGGTGGGAATCAAACCCACACAGCCGTACGAACACACTTTCACCCAAACATCCGAAGCCTTATATCGTGTATTGAAGTGAAATCATTGAATACCATCGTCTACTATAGACGGCAGCGTAACTTTTACAACCTCTGTCATTATGTTGTAATTCTCTTGTGTTATACGAGTCGCTTCGTACTTGCATGATGTAATTTGTAATCCTGTAGGTAGAATAGAAGGACGTATTCATTTAAATTGTTTACTCTCAACTCAGGAGGAGTTTCACCAGTCGTTGATTGGACTTATACATTATTTTTAAGTGTATAACAAATTTAAACGTACACTAGTGACATCTATCGGCATTAAGTTCTTTATGCGACAAAGAAAAGAGAGTGCAGGTAGCTCAGAAGTCGGCAAGATTTATTAGATCGTAACATGGGGTCGGCTATGCGGCCGACTGTAGCAAACAAAAAATATAAAAACACGTTTCAACTCTCTACCATATGATTATAATACGTGTCATCAGTAAAAATATTTCTTATAACCGCCTTTAGAGTTCAGTGGCTAAACGAGTTGCCTAACTGCCTGCCTAAGGTTTGAATTCCGGAAAAACGTTAATGTTTTGGTCAACTATTATATAGCAGAGAAAGAACTGAGACTGATGTATATGTATTTACCCTATGTCCTACGGGAAGGACCGGATATAAGTTAATAAGTGGTATTATATAACGCGCACATATATTAACAATTTTCATATTTATCTTTAACTAAATGCGCTCGTTGGGCTAATTACTATGTTTGTAATCGATGTAATTTTTCTGAAACATGTCTGGAAATCTGGATATAAAATGGGTGGTCATAAACCACCGTCCACAGATTTAAAAGTTTAATCGCGTTTAAAACCAAAGCTTATCTATATATCTATAATATCTTATAGTTTAGTATATATGACTCACCTTCCATTAAGTGGACCCCATGTTTGTCTGTCCTCTATCAAAGTAATAATACATTTTTCATCAACGCAAATAACAGCTGGAACGAAACGCGTACATACAATATAACATCTTTTTCATACAATTACGCGGGCACGTGTTTTAGAACTGCTAGATACAGTTGTACTTTACAACATTGCTAAATTTTTTTCTGACACGAGTGACTATCGGGCTGTGAGTGTAATTTCTCATTACGTCAAGCAAATTTGAAGTCTTATTGGGTTGCGTATTTTTAGGAATCTTGACGTCGGATTTTCCTTTATAGTTTTTCTTATACTTAGTGAATCATTGAAATGACGATGATTATGAAATAGTGCCTTATGATTGTATTTGTACTAGAATAATGTCTTTATATGAAGATATATAGTGCAATAATTAGTATCATTGATGTTGTAGTTCCTCAATTGATCTAGAACTATTTCTTAACTTCATTAAACAGAGTAAAGACACAATTACAGATTATGGGATTTACAAGCTGCATTCTCAAAACGCTTCGTTTTCCTCACTGTATTAAAATACTCTGAAACTGTTGTCTTGCCGCCAGCTGATCCCGTTAATTCTCCGCAAAGGTAAAAGCGGCTCTACACTGTTTGTAACCTGCCGATTGAAGATAGATACTTCTGGGTTTTCATTTGTTTTTCCTACCAGTTCGTGGCCGGTTGTCGTAAGCAAATAGAACGACTCATTGCAGTCAATATCGTCTAAATGACGGTTCAAAGCTACGTCACCCATTTCCTCCCAGCACGTACGTAGCCGTACTCGGGTGACGCAATTGGCTTTTTCAATGTCTTATCTGCAGTGAGGTATACTGTCATTTGCCGAGTGATCGTCGCGTTGCGCACACGCGCCGCTCGCAACGGTTATTTTTATTCGCTCTGCGCCTTCATACTCTCGCCACTGTCGAGGCCGAAGTGACGAATTGCGCGCTTACAGTGCCAGTGTTCTGACTTCTTAGCTTTGTTTTTATCAACGATACGTCCAAATTGTGTTCCGTTTACCGTCCATGATGTTTATGTCTGGATTTCTCATCTTCTCTCCTGAAATATCGGCGAGGTGGGTGATGCGCTGTTAAAAGTATTTATAGGTCGCAATTAGTTGTATAGCTTAAATCTTGTGACCATATGTGTGTTATTGACCTGTATATATTCCGGTTGCAGGCATTGTTCTTTGATCCATTGCGTATTAGTCTACGTTTCATATAAAACTGAATACTAATAATAGTTATAAAATAATTTTACTAAATAAACAACAAGAAAGAGTAGTTTTTCTTGTTGTTTATTTAGAATAACATAATAAAAATCGTACGTTATTCTATTTGGGAAATCACGTATACGTAGAACAGTGCTAATTAGTTCGTGTCATTGTTACAGAATGACTCCGCAAGAGGAGCGAGAGAGCGCTCGCGGCGCTGAGATAGCGGACGCCTTCGAGGACGACATGTTTGGCCCTCCTCGCACCGAGCCCGCCGCCGCGCGCCCCAAACTCTCCATGATCTCAGCCCGACTGCGCGCTAACGAGGAGCGCAAACGCGTCATCGAGATTTGCTCCCAGAAGTTGGAAAACATCGAGGACCCGGCGCGCGACCTTCGCCGTTCCGTGTGCATAAACAACACTTACTGCCGCCTGAGCGAGGAGGCGCGCAGAGAGAAGGAAGCCAGGCGACGGCGCGCCAGGGAGGAATGCGACGACTCGTGGATCGGCAAGAAGGCCCGCCGCGCTGTCGAGGACGAGTGCCTAGCCCTCCTAGATGCGATCCCCGAGCTCGGAGACGCGAACCTCGGGTGCGCGCAGCTCGCGCGGCAGATGCCCCGACAGGACGCGCTCCTGCCCCCCGGCCTGCTGACGGTTCTGGACTCGTGACCGCGCCGCCCTGCGCATCTCCACCCTCCGCTGTGATGCCGGCGTCCGAGCGAAGCACGCTCGTGCGAGGTTAAGCCGCTCGAGTCGCTGACCGAGTCACCGGACGCGTTGTGAACCAGCCGTGGAACGCGATCCGGCTCCGCTCGACGTCTCACGCCGCACCTGACCGCTGGACATCGCGTTCATAGAATTCTCGTTACCCGGATCAGACCGCCGACGTTTAGCAAATTCTACGTCGTTCACGATGAGTACTTACATTGTTAGCGCGTTATATTATTTAGTGAAAGTTGCTCAGGCGCCGCCGACGGGCGCGGTCCGATTACTGTTCGACCACTTTTATTAAAGAACTGCCGCTATGTGACGTCGAGAAGATCAAATGTATAGTGAAGAAGTTAAAGAAATTATTTCGGAGTTTTAGATGTAAGCCATAATTAATGTTACATTATTGTACTATAAATAGTTTACGTGTAGAATATTTACGATAAGTGATAGTGCAAATCGACTGGGGACGGTTGCGCGCGATTAAACGGCACCATTGTTCAGTCCTTAGTATTACGCGCTGCCTCGAGTGAGATTAAGATAAAATTAGGAGGCGTCACTTCGCACTCGCTAGAAATGTTCGAAACAAATAGTCCGCTGTCCGATAAACTTCGAAAGTAAAAGCCGAGTGCACTGCGCCGAAGCGTGCGAGCGAGACCGCACGCATATTAAGAAACACGGTATCTGGCGTTACGTATGACACGTTCGTAACAAAGGAAAAAATACTTCATACGGTGTGACGCGTGGTGCTCGGCGGCGCTGATGAGCGTTCGCGACCTCAGTCGCGTAGATAAGCCAAACGTTCGACCAAACCTTGGATCAAATGCATTTTACAAGTCTGATTCGTTAATTTTATTTTGCTTCACGCGTTGTGTTTATGTATATTTTGTTCGAGCGTTACAATTTTAGTTGAGTCTGTGTTTAATTGATTGCGTACTTATTGTTTTCGTTATTTTCGACTGTGCTGTGTCATTGTTAATTTATTTTAGGCGAACGATTTTGTTGAAAATGTAACGGCTTCGCTCGTTGTGCAATAGACTTGTCGACGTTGTGCAATGGTTGAAGTGAGCGATGTCTAATGATCTAAATCTTAATTGTCGCAAAATATATTGATAGAAACCCATTTCGCCCCTCTGAATAGTAAGTAGGTACCTGTAGGCTTTGTAGGGTGGAGGGCGGCGCAAGGGTGGCCGGGGTGAAGTGGGGCAAGCGAACCGTTCCCAGCACTCCTGTGATATTAGCCTAGCCTGTATGTCGTATTTGTGCTAGTTTCCCCATCATTTTTTGAAATGCGCTATGTATAAACGCTTAAAGAGATTAACTCCTCAAATCGGCAATTTTATACGGATAGCCCGGTTTTATAATATCCATTACTAGACACATAAGACGATTTTATCGCGTTGAAGAATAAAATTTAGATTTTTGTATCGAGTTTGTATAATAAGAGTGCTTAAACGGAATCGTGGTCCTTCGCGGATTTTAACTACGTCTTTGTGAAAGGGCTTTACAAAATGTAACTTGTTGGTAATTCCTGGAGTAATCTTCCGTCTCGCGTCTGATTTTGAAATGCCAGAACGAGACAGACGAACAGAGCGTCGATTCATTCTCCGAAGAAATCGCTTGTTCACATAAAATCCAAACAATACCAAATGTATTTTTAAAATCACAAAAACGCACATTAATGTATTGTAAATTGTTGTAGTTCGTATTTTACAAGAATGTCAATAAAGAATATTATGTCATAGTATTATTATGTCTCTTTTGTTCCTAAGTGCCTTGATTATTTTTTTTACAATTGAGAAATATTGTTTATTTAAAGAAAACCAGCATTAATTATGTTAATTACAGGCACGGTCATTGTCCAAATCGTGATGACTTTATTGTTTGAATAAAGCTATTGCTTTACGAGTATAAGAATGAAATAATGTAAATAAAAATCTTTAATTCTCAAATATTGTGTTTTCCTTTAATTCGTCTTAATAGATTTGATAAAGAACGTATTAAGCCACTTTATTCATTTATGACTGAAGTTATTTTTATAGTCTAAAAATGTTAATCTACAAGAGCACAATTACCAAAAATTAATTTTCGCCTAATTTATTGAAAATCATGTTGCTTTGTTATTGGGCCACTCTGCCTCTAGCAGCCTCATATTACACTTAGAAACGAAATATGGTTTTGTTTAACTTAAATTATTTTAATTCAGACCAGAGATTATTTGAAGGATCATAATGGAATTTGACATTGAGCCGTTAACAGAAGAATTCTTGGTGAAACCTTAGCTTACATCGATTATCATTGCATAAGCATATATACGTTTTTAGTTATTTTACTAAATTTAATTTATAAAACAGTAAATTTCTACTTAATTAAGTAGATTGAAACAACTTGTAAAGGAAAAGAGTGGATGTAGAATATATTATAATGTGAAGGTTACTATAATCAGGAAAATGTAAACGGCATTGAAATAAAGAAATATTCAGAATTTTAACATGGCTAAAATTTAGTCATTCTCAGTATATACGCGCTTGATTTAATAACGAGATTCTTAAGGCTTGTATGTAGTTCACGCGAGTGGTACACATTAAGTGAAACATTTTTAAAGGTTTGAAACGCGAATTAGATTACTTTCCATATTGATCGAGCTCCTAGCAGATAATATGTGGGTTTTAAACTGTTAAAGGTTAGATTTCTCCGAAGTATTTTGAATTAGTAGAAACGAAGTTGGTGTGGTTATTACACAACGGGTCGTGGGTTCGTTCCCCGACGAGTCTAAAATGTTGCTAATTAATTTATAGTTTTCCTAAAACATGTTCCATGTTCTTCATCTATGTCTGAAAACCTGGTTACGGAATAGGTGGTAAGAATTTTGAAGATTCCCTTTAGGTCGTGAACCATCGTGTACAGATAAAAACAGTTTTAATCTGTGGGTTTTAGAATATACATACTAAGCCAAAAAAGGTAGGCATGTTGTTTAAATTTTATATTGCTGGGATATTTTGCCATCAACATCATCTCCTCTATCAGTGAAACTTAGTAAAAAAAATATAGGTAATTGTTGTCGTATTATTAGAAACAAAAGTTATTAATAAGTTAAGGATTATTGTGACAAGAAATAAACTGTCAAGACAAGCTAAGCTTTACCAATATTATAAATGAAAGGCGTGGTTTCAATTACTACTAACATCGCACTTGATTTTTTAATAGTTATTTGAAATTGCATTGAGTTATTTAAATGTGAAAACAAATTATTTTGAAGAAATCTATAGTAATGTTATTATTTGTACCATATTTTGCGTTACCATAATTCCACTCAACACTTCACATCAAATTTATTAATATGGATGTTGGAATTGTTTTTCAAATTGCCATACTAGGGCAAGTCAGTAGTGACTACTTGTTTAATCGACTAAAATACGCAGACTACTAAGCTATTCACGTTATATTAAAGTAGCACAACAAATAACACCATCGTGAGTCCCCTTTGATGAGTCATTTACCAGAGAGGACATTATTTTTAGTCTGCTGTTTAGCAGGCAAATGAACTAAACTTTTCTAACGGTTCAAAACGCGAAATACACTACTTTGTTTGTAACAAGGCTAGTTGAAATAAATTAACGATTAAATTTCGCGTTCTAAGCCGTTAACAGTGATATGTACTATGTAGTCAAGGGATTACCTACATTTGAAAATTGGTTACAATTTACTGCATGAATAAAGACTATGGCTACTGGCGACTATGGACTGTGACCTTAAACTTATGATCGACTAGCGCTACAAACTACATAAAATGTCTTATGGTGGTATATTCTGTTAATGAAGAATTTCATCTACGATTAATTTTCCTTAAATTAAGTCAAATCCCACTTCCCCTATGGGACTAAAGGCGAAAAGATTTTAGTGTTTATTAACAGTCAAGTCGTTGATAAAACTTCAGTGCCCCGTCAGACCGAAAAAATTAATTGCTTCTCCGCGATTCGAATGCTAGACGCAACACGGTTAACTATTGAGCTACGGAAGGGGATGATTGTGAATTATTAATTAAGAATGATTGGGCGTTACAATAATAATATGTTACATAAACTGTTTTTTTACAGAAGTATGCATATTTAAAATTACTCATTTAGCTTAAATCTATGGAATTTCGTGATTTCAGAGTAAAATATCAAATTTGATTTGGCTTTACGTATTTGAAGACAAGTTCGCCATTGTTTTATTACTGTGTTATGTGCTACCAATAAATTATTGTTGTAATTTTAACAATTAAGGTCAAACAATTTGCTTGCCAAAATTTGTATTGTACATACAACATACTTGTTTCCGTTTGACGAAATCAGAAATATTTTTTCCCCGGGTTTCACATCCTGGCTCGTATCGCAATGTTAAGATTCTCATTCAACCATTCAGCCACGAAGATAATTATAAAGTTGTGTTAATATATTGTATTAATATTAGTTAGTTATTCATTGTCTAATTTGCCACACAATGAAAGTATTATATAATCATGATACTTCTACCGCCATCTAGTGAGCTAACTACGAAACACACATCTTGACTAAAAGTATTAGACATACCTAATTAAATTATAATAAGTTTGTTAACACAATAAATACATTAAACGAATTACACTTTCTTCTTAATTTTTTGTCTCATCCTTTTTTTATGACAAAGAAGGGCAAGCGTTTACATCTACACAAGATGCGCTGTCGGCTTATTTTGACTAAGGACTTTTGGAAATCTGCAGGCTGTAACCGAAATGTAAATACATACATACACTTCACGGTTCTTCCGTCTGTAAACCTCTTTAACGTCTTGATTTTCCAGAAGTGTAAAAGTTTTGGAAAAAATATAAATTCAATTTTAAAAACATGTTTATATATATATATGTATGTATATACAGGATATAGCTAATATTTGACCAAAGAGCTTACTATAAAGTATAAATAACTTTAATTTCCGCT